GGTTTTCCATGGTGATCTAGCTTCAATTGACTCATGATTTCAACCAGTGAAATATCGTGAGAAATGCTAAATTATTTTTAAATATAGCAATTTAAAATTCCTACGGTTCTATACATCATTAAAAAAAATATAATGAATAATTTAATTTATTCATTGAATTGAACCTTGATCGTCTGTTTGATTACCTTTTTTTATAAAAAAAAGTCAATTTTACACTTATGATCAGTGATGGGCTAACATCAATCGGTTAATGACCTTAATCAAAAATATAATAATCTCTACAACCCATACTAATAAAAAAATTTAATCTACTTAAATCCAACAATATTGGTGTTCAGTGATTATAGTTATCGTATTAATGTACTAGAATTATTTAGACTTTGTTTAAAAGTAATGAACGGTTGGTGGTTAAAATATATTACTTAATAGTGTTTAATTTCTAAACAAATTATGTTTATTTTGTATAATTGATTTCCTAAATTGAGTTTATGATATAGATACTCGTAATGTTGAACTTGTGTCTAAAGTTAGATATTAACATCATTGGATCGCGGTCGGTTCATTGGTCTTGAGGTCAAGCGTTCCCGCGCTTGACTGATAAGTTATGGGTCCGAATCTCACGCGAGCGAGATTGTGAATGTGCACTGCTGAGGAATCCCACAATAGGACGAAACGGTTGTCCAGTTCTTCTAGGTTTTCTATGGTGATCTAGCTTCAACTGAATCACGATCTCAACTATTGAAATAACTATAATACCCACAAAAACCCCTTCCGAAAAGTAATATTCATTGTCTTTATTATTTCAAACACCGAAATAATTAAGTCATATCTAGTAAATTTCACACAATTTGAAAGTAAAACAGTAATTGTTAAACAGTTCTGATCAATGGTAAATTTAATAATATTGAAAATATGAATTGTTGGGTTACAATTCAGTAGTCAAAATATCCTATTCTTGTCATGAGACCTAATGATCCTTGATTTAATTATTATTATACTTAGGAGTTATACTTAAATTAATGAATATTTATTTGAATTGTTTTCTTGTATTGGATTAACAAGTTGGTATTAGTTGGATGAAATAGTGAGTGAATTGATTGCTTAGCGAACTATTTTATCAACTGTTTGTGATCTTTATTACTACACAGCTTCTTTTGTGTTTTCAGTTTGTGTGTTCACTAAAACTTTATAAGATCTAATCAAGAGTTGTTTCACATTGAATTCAAACAAATAACATTTTGGCAAAATCGTTAAACGTTTTTTTCTTAAACCATGAAACGTCCTACGTAAAATTTGTTAAAGATTGTTTAGTAGCTGGTTATAGTTTGATGAAAGGGTTACAAACAAATTTAGAAGTGTTTATTAATGGATTCCAGCTCAATAATATATATCATTTGAGCTCTAGGAGGTAAACCTAAAGATCATGTATTGAAGACGTTATAGGCTAGTATAAAACGCGCTGTTGAGGAAAGTCATATTACGAAAAAATAACTGTCCAGTGTTCTTCATTTTTTGAAAGCACTTTAATCGTGATCATTCTCTGATGAATGTCATCTATATAATGACTGATTGATTCATATCTGAAGTAATATTTACTTTTTAAAAGTCATGAATATTTATATATGAATGACTAGACTGACTAACTATGACTGTATATTTCCAATGATTTTAATATGTATATTAATTGTGTTTGTCAATGTTATTCATCTATACATATTACATAGTTACATATAAACAAGGTATCTGACTAACAAACTTTTATGATTAATCATTGTAGATTTTATGTTGACATGTAACAGAACTAGATACTGCTTTTTCACTTTTTCAATAATCTTTGTCTTATAGTTATTTCACTTACAAATAATACATTCTGTTTACATTTAAAAATGACCTGTTCATTAAAAATAATTAATCTTGTTAATCCATAAGTTAATCTAAATTGTTCGATGTAGAGAAAAGTTTAAAAAAATATTAGTTTTATTTATTTTTCAAAATTTGAAGTGTAAATATACCATTCTACGATCGTTTACATTTTTCTTATAAACTTGTTTGATAAAACAAATAATATATATAGTAAATATTTAATTGTACTGTAGTGAATGAGATTAGATGATGGATGGAGGTAGTCGACAGGAAACCCTGGACCGCCAAGTAGCACCAGTTCCCTCAAGATTACAGGTACACCTTGCTGACGAGTGCCAAGTAGCACGAAACCCGGGTCCAGGGTTTCCTGTCGACTACCTCCAACCACCATCTAATCTCAATATATAGTGCACTCAGTGTCGATTCACCTGGACTGGTGGCCACATTGCAACATGGTCGATAGCATTCGATCTGCACTAAATAAGGACTTGACACACATGACACTGATCACCACCCAGTGATCAATCAATTGTGTAGTGAATGAGAACACACATATGTGGACAATCGAATGTATTTCAATACAAAATTACAGAATATCTTAGCGAAATCTGTGAATCATACGGTAAATTTTTCATTTGCAATATATTAATCAGTTGTCTCAAACTTGACTATTCCTTCTGCAAAATATCAATCAATCTTCTTAGACTTTATTATCTTTCATTTCCACATCAATCAATCACTGTTATCGTTCTCTTTCCTTCGATCTTCTTAACCTTTGTCATTTCAATTGATGATACATACTACTTATATCTGTCGACATCAGTAGCACACACCATAATACACTTGAATGTTTTATCTTGAAACTAAACTGAAAATTGCTAGGTATATCTTAAAATATTCAAATAAAATACAGAATGGAATTTGTTTGGTGTCTGAGACTGAATGTAGAGTAATAGAATTCTGAAATAATATAATAAACATAAATTCTTTGTATTTAATGAATGTCAAACTAAAGGATACCTTGTAATTAACATGGTTTTCTGCTACAAACAATCCAACTATGTATAACCATATGATACGAAGATTCTATGATTAACAGTTATATTTTATATAACCATAAATAAACCATAAACTTATGACTAGTTATTTTGAGTTCTGAACATTAAGTCACCTTAATTCTTTACCTCACAATTATCACTATGAAAGTGAAATTTCTTAGATTAAAGTGTTTCAGATGTTTTCTGATCGGATTTTATAACTTGTAGATATATAACACTGGAACAAGTTATTTCACTTCTAGGTAAATCCTTATAATAAATAGTGAAATACTTTTTTCAATTTTATTCTTCTCAACTACTTAGATGCATCGTTTACTTTTTATTACATTTTTATTAGTAATTTAAATAATTAAATATTCTATCCAAAAGTAAATCTGGGTTATGGACTATTCAAACATAAAGAATACTGGAATGAACAATCGTTTTCAGTAACTTCATTATCAGACTCGACATATGTATACATTCTTATTTATAATAGTAAAAAGGCCGAATTATGTCATGTTAGTGAGTTAGATAAAGTTATGTAGTGGAAAATGGTGAACTTTTGAATATTTGCGGGTACAAATACTTCGAAACTGCATCATTTGTACATTAAAAAGATTAATTTGTGAAAGGTTAGAGGAACTCATTATGAAGAGTCAAAATACAATCAACATAATAATAAAATAAGTCATGTGAATAAAATACATAGTACAGAAAATTTTCTCTGGTTAATTAAGGTACTAATAACAACAATAATAATGTTAATAACGTTTCGTGAATATACTACGTAATAAGAGAGGTGTTGTTAGGATAATTATGATGAGAAATTCGTGTGAATTTGAAAAACACATCTGTAAGTTGAAAATGGAACAGAGCAGATATAAAAATAATGTAGTGATCTAGTTGTTGGTCAAGGTAAACGTAGAGGCTGAATATACATCTTCTGGATGTATAAGTCAGGTCTTCAGGTGATCACAATGGCTCTATTTATTTACAGGAATTGTATTCTTGATCCTTTAGGTTGATTATTTTGAGTTTAATATAAAACCGAGAAGCTTTTATCTACTTTGATATGACATTCGCAATTTACCGAACTGGAAAGACGACACTGTTAAAAGATATCGTAGCACCTTTTCTCAAACTTACTGGATAGTATAATTGATTTTTTTAAGCATTATGTAACTGTTAGTTTATTTGTAAATCCTTTTTGGGTGGTGTGAATAAAGCAACTAGTTAAAGGCGAATAACTAAATTAGTTTCGCTTTCAAGTTTGAAGCTATCTTGTCGAATCTTTGAAATTGTCCCGATGTTATTGATTAAATTTATTCATATGAATAATAGTGCGAATAGTTTCACATTTCTATTGGTGTCGTAATTAATTATTAAGGAAACTGCTATTGATCAAATATATGAATCTTTAAAATATATCAACTAACCTACCATCAATAAAATTACTCGATAACATTCAAGCCAATAATATTTTCAATCTCATTTAGCAAATAACGTCTTTTCGGAAAAATCAAAAGTCAGACAGTTATTTTGAATAAAACTAAGCATCATCTTGTTTTGTGATGGAATGAATATAATGAAGAATGGATTTTAATTCAGTAGTATTGAAAGTCTAAAGTTTAATACGAATCATTTAGGTCTTAGTTTCATTCGAATAGAGGTTCATGAATGCTCACTGATTTTTTGAATTTTTATTATTCATCAAACGATATTAATCTATTGCAATTACACTTTATAAGTAAAGACTTGCAGTGAAATCCAGGATGCGCGTTCCGTCCTATTTGTGACTCATAAGATGGATGTACCTGCATCTCAAATAGGACAAAACGCGCGTCCTGGCTTCTCCTGTTAGCCACCATCCATTTTTGCTTATAATACTCGTGACTTAAAGCAATATTGAGACAACCCTTACAGGATGTATATATGCCGATATGAGATTGATCAACTACAGTTCTGAGCATCAAATAAACAGTACAAAATGAATTATACAACTGGTTTATTATAATTGTTGTAAATGCTTTTTAATGTTTGTTAAATGTTTCACTGAAATATACTTAACTTTTTTTCTTTTGGATTGTTTTATTTTAGTGTTTATCAGATTTCGAAAGTGCCAAATGTTCATTCATTCATTATGTTTATTATGTAAAATAATAATCATTTCAATAACAGTAATAATTCCTGAATGTTTTTGTCTTATGGGAAGTCCTCCAACAAATTTACCGGAATGTTTGAACTCTGGAACAAGAACCACTATTAATGAACGTTACAGGTAAACGAGGTATTTTTTTATACCGATTAACTAGTTTCAATTTTTTCTTTTTTATTCATTTTCTAAAATAATTTTCTGGAAACCAATCATAAACGATTGAATAATGAAACGTTGAGATGTCATTTTGGTGTATAATTAAAAAGGTGATATATACTTGTATTACATGTTTGAGCTGACTTTTTAGTGGCTCGAGATCCCATTTCAGGTAGATCGTTTCTGATTATTATTATTGAAATATACATGTCGCCAATCCTCTTAATATAAACATTGACTAAATCACGTTGGTGAATAACGGAATTGAATAAGTTAAATACGAGAATGGATTTTTGAATACCTATATTTTTTACAGTCGTTGATCAGACTAGACAATCAGAGAGACGTAGCGAAGGAAGCGAAGAGGATAGATAGAAGTGAAGTGGAATCATGCGCAGTGGAGAAGACGTGTGAACCAACTCGATTTAGTCAAAAGTTAATCAATATTTATAGTCACACAAAACTAAGTTACAGACATGCAATGAACTGGATAAGAAGTGCACACACATACGCTCATATAAAAACAGTCAAGATTGATAAGCAAATAATTGGAAAGGTCAAAATGTGACTCAAAGAGAATGAGTAAATTGGCTTGTCCGGAAGCTAGAATAAGCTATGTGGGCTTAACATAGCAACTGACACTAGAACTTACATTATCTAACATTATCTAACACATAGAAAATGCTATCATCATCTAATGATAATAGCTACTACCGAATCATACACAGGTGACTGAAGCTTTCTTTATGTAGAAGATAACATTGATGACGTATTGCTATTACTAGAGGATTAGGTAAACGGTTTGATAAATAACTTCTTGACTGAATGTTTAATTATTTAGATAAGAATGTAAGAAAATATTTTATATATTCTAAGTTATCGAATTATCATAAGATATATCATACAGAAATGTAGCTTTGAAGAAACAGATAGAAACAGTACAACTTATTCAAGTTCACATTAATTGTATAAAGCCTAGTATAATATAAAAGTAAATATCTTCGATTTTGAATAAATATGCATCAAAATTTTATTAGAAAATCTAGTTATTCAATAAGAAGTCACTTAGATAAATGAAAGTTTTTTTTGAAATCCCTTCAGTTTAACGATATTATCATATCAATCGATTAATATGTACTTGTTCAAAAACTATTCTACCTATTTAATGATCTTGAGTGCTGTTCGAGGTACGAGGGCAGTTATTACTTCCCGATTATCCACACCGTGGAAGGGTCCTTTTGGAGGTACCTTACAAGGAAATTGGGTTAGAGATGGTCTTAGTGACCTGAGAGCGTGACCGCAGTGCCCAAAGGATAACTGCTTGAGGTTGGTCGCACACGACTTTTTCGTTAGTAATTTTCGTATTAGCTCCGTACTTGTTGAGACGTCACCTATGGCGAAGGCGAGATATCTGTCTCTCAACTAAAGGACGAGAATACTGTGCGTCATTTCGTTATGTTCTATTTTACGGCTGCGAAACGTGGCCACTAAGAGTAGAAGATTCTCGTAAGTTGCTAGTATTTTACCACAGATGTCTTAGAAATGTCTCTCGCACCTTCTGGGATCACCGGGTAAGTAATAGTTAGGTTAGATGCAGAGTATTAGGTAATAATGGTGAATCATTTGATGAGGTTGTAAATGTACATTGACTGAGATAGTTGGACCACGTGTTACTCATACCTGACCACCTATTACCACAACGCGCAATGATGAATAGTGTTGGGGATGGTTGGAAGAAAGTTAGGGGCGGCCAAACCAAAACGTGACATCAGTGCTTGAAGACACTAACTTCTAGTCTGAGCCATGTTGGTAGGTGCAGACTAGTTGGTTGGGGTCCGCGTGACTATCGTAACCAGTGGTTGGAGACTCTTGATGACATTGCTCAGAATCGATGACAGTGGCGTTGGTGTATACACTCTTTGTATTCCCTTAAACTATGAGATTAAGTTTGCTTTATGTCCTTTTTTCTACGAACTAATTCTTTCTTCCTGTACTGTGTTCTTATATGCAATATTTCTTTTATATGTTACCACCACTTAATTAATTACTTTTATGAATTCGGTGTTCATCTTGTTGTGCTAATGAGGTATGGCAACTTGGACCGATGCATATATGTGCCTGGTCATACGTCGTAGCTGACTGATCTATTTCATTTAGATTTATCTAATAGCATAACTGGATCGCATAAAGTGTCCTTTATCACAGTTTTTTTAAACACGTTGAAGAAGTATGATGCTGTAAATCGGGGATATTAATTTAGTTATAACGAAATCTTGAAATATCATGAACAAATTAGTATACTTTTTTTGTTTTTTAATCACATCCATCATTTCTGGTTATTTTTAACGTGAAGAGATAAAAACCAATTACTTAATTTGAATGGATTATTTATTCACATTGAAATGTAGTGAATTTACTTAATTTCAGGTTTCATTTCACATGAGTATTCTTCCAAACAAGTAATATATATGGTTTTTGATTGAGATCATTAACCGATTGATGTTAGACCACCATTGAAAACCTGAAGGCACTGGACGGCCGTTTCGTCCTATTGCGCATCCACGATCCCGCTCGCTGGATTCAAACCCAGGGCCTTCCGTCTCGCGCGTGAACTATTAACCTACTGGACCTCTGAGTTGGCATCCAATGGTCTTAAGGTCTAACCTGGGTTCCATCCCCGCCAGCGGGACCGTGGAAGTGCGATACTGAGGAGTCCCATAAGAGGACGAAACGGCCGTCTAGTGCTTCCAGGTTTCTAGTGGTGGTCTAACATCAATCGGTCCATGATCTCAATCAAAAACTTAATAATCTCCACAACCCCATACTGATAATATATATGGCTTAAAATTGGAAAAAGGGCATGTATACAATTTATATTTTTACATCAATATATAAAGAACTTTGTTAAATGTTCATCTGAATTAGATAGAAGATCAGAGGGATAAAGTTGATTAGGAAAGTTAAAGTAAGACTTTTACACTGTTGAAAAGATGATTTATTAGGTTTGCTCATGGTAATTTACATTATGTTCATTATATCAAACTTGAATATCAACTTAAAGTTAGGGCTTCCAATCTTTATGACAGGCATGACTTACTATGAAAACTTGACTTTTTCAGTATGAAGCAATTAATCCTTAGAGAAAATTATCTAATACGCTTATTTATCTGTAAAATTTGTCAATAATTAACTTTATTTTATAGTTAGCATTACATTTTACCTTTTTTAACCATATCAATCTATTTTTGTTTTTTAATCAGTTGTTCATGTATAGATTCTTATATGAATCGACAATGTAAACTTCTGTCGATTAATGTTGCCAATACTCCAATAGAAATGCCTTTCACTAGTTTTTATATTAATACAACAATTCAACAAACTGTACATATTGGTTTTCAATTTATCACTTCAGACAACAGTGGAAATGGTACACTGTTTACACTTAGAAATATGGTAAGCTACTATGTATTGATCATTTATATTGTCTTAAAAATAGTTTCGTTGTTTAGCTATCTTAACTGCTTAATTTTTATGATCTCTGTTAAAAAATTAAAAAAAAAACTCAGCTTTTTTGAAAACAAGCTGATAATAATGGGCTGAAATTAAATTAATGAAAATTTTTACATTTCAACTTATGATGCTCAGTTCCGACTGGTTATGTTTACTGTTTCATTGAGTTTACGATGCCACCAAATACCCTGGTACGAAAAGCGAATGTCCAGCGTTTTGACGGGGTTGGTGGATACGACTAGTCAACCTAGGGGAGTTGGAAAACCCTGATTCCAAATCAATGGTGCACATCGGCTCCAGGATCTTGAGGGAACAAATGGCGTAGGAACTAATTATTGGTCACTTGCTACCATGGGACTGCATCTCCTGACGTTGCTCCACTGCCTTATAGATCGGACTCTTAGGTTGAAGACTCCTATTATGGCCACATAAGAAGACCACCTGCTTCGGTCTGGGCACCAGGACATCATCACAGCCCACACACAAATCAATTGACTTGTGCGGCGCATATGTATTCGGTGCTCCAATATTTATGTGTTTAAATAAATAAATAGATAAACAAATAAAACGATATTTGTCAGTTTCGTTTTTACTGGATAACAACTGAATATGTTATCTAGATATATGAACCTCAAAATTCAATAAACTAAGCATTTTAACTTGTATATCTAAAACTTCTAGTAGGTAATTACAGTTAAAAATAAATAGTAACTCGGTCTTCCATCATTACTTCATGGATGATAATGATTCAGTCACAATTGATTGATCACTGGGTGGCGATCAATGTCATGCGTGTCAAGTCCTTATTAGTGCAGATTGAATGCTAACGATCATGTTGCAATGTGGCCACCTGTCTAGGTGAGTCGACACTGCGGGCACTATATATTTAGATGAGATGGTGGTTGTAGGTAATCGACAGGAAACCCTGGACCCGGGTTTCGTGCTACTAGCTCAGTGGTAACGTCTCTGACTGTGAAGCTGGGTGACACGAGATCGAATCCACCAAGGAGCACCAGTTCCCTCAAGATTACAGGTACACCTTGCTGACGAGTGCCAAGTAGCACGAAGCCCGGGTCCAGGGTTTTCTGTCGACTACCTCCAACCACCATCTAATAATGATTCAGCTTTATTTGTAATTATCTTCATAAAGTAAAAATATATTTAGTAGTTTTATGGAATTATTTTTAAATAATACCTAACAATCATTATAGGTTAATAGTTATAACAAAAGATAATACTTTACGAATAATTAGTGATTAAGGTTTATCACTAAAAAAATCAACCATAGATACTTTTCATGTTAACTGTTTCGAAAACATATATTTCTTTTCAAATATTATAAATGACCATATTTCTGATAAAGTTAAATGTAAAGTGTATCATTTAGGTTAAAAAACCCTGTTGTTTTATATGATGAATTTACTTTGATTTGTCCCAATCGTTGCTTCTACCTTGACGTAGTGGTTGGGCTTGCCTATTGTAATGAACCAATCGAGTTATACTTGCTGGAACAATCGTTCCTACCGTGCTAGACAGGTCGGTCGAAGAACAGTAAGACTAAAAGCAGCAAACCCAAGGTCCGAAGGCGAAGTCGTACTGTTGACTATACAGAAGTGTGACGACAGTAATGGGTTTCCTTCAGACAACCAGCATGACAGTGATGCTGCCTTCTCACAAGGAGGGGTAGGGTTAGAAAAAGTCGACCTTAATGATGCACACCTCGCATTATATAACGAATATCCGTCCCCGGCGGTAGGATCTTAACATTGAAGGAGCTAACACGAAAATTACTAACAAAAAGGTCATGTGTAACCGACCTCAAGCAGTTGTCCCTTGAGCACTGAGGTCACACTCTCGGGTCCATAAGACCATCTCTAACTTGAATTCCTCCTCAGGTACCTCCAGAAGAACCCTTCCACAGTTTGGATAACCGGGAAGTGATAACTGCCCTCATACCTTTAACAGCACTCAAGATAGACTGACTTTGGTTTGTATACTTATCGATGGTGTTCTTTTGATTCGTAATATAACTTAGGTTGTACATATGAAATAACATGATTAGTTAGTCTTTTGACAAGCAAAATAGATTTTGTGGTTTTCAACTGGTTTACATTATATAATAAAGTACAGAATGTTTTTGTTACTGGAAGTAATTTACTTCATATGTCGATAAGTATATAATCTTAGTCAAACAAAGATATAAGAAAATGGTGGAGAAGATTTGTAGCTCAGGTGGATGAATTTGGTGGAGTTTTGTTCTCTGAGCTGGATGGTTTGGTCGTGGAGCTTTCATCGTTCTTCTGAACGACATCATCAGCACAAACTTCAGATAGACTTCTATCTGAAGAAAATAACAAGTATAGTCATAGCTTTTAAATGTGTCATCGGTGTCATTGTTTTGCAAATATTTTGACTTATATAATGTATCAGTTTTAAAACAACGAAAATATAATTCTATTTGATGCTTAATTAGAACAATTAGCTGTCTTAAATTTATAAATGGAATAGGTTAAAGGCATAATTAATTTTCAATAGACCAATTAGGCATATTTACTATTTGAATTCGTGCATAATCATAGTAAGATAAATATTGTTCAATGGTAGATAACTTCTTATGTGTTCGGTTTAAGTATATTAACATTATAAGTTACCATATACTTATGAAGTAATTATGACTTATTATCTATCATATTCAAAGAATATTTTTCATTACAAAGACTTATTGAATGAAAACAAAAATACACTGCTGAGCTGATTCATCCAAGTTGTTCATATTGTAGATCATATAGCTACGAATATTCGTCAAAATTTGTAAGGATAGTTAGACAGAAATTAGACCTCGAGTATATAGAAGATATTTTTATAGAAACTATATTTGAACTGCTTTCAAGATTGTATTTTCAAGCAAATTATTTATTGTAGCTTAATATAACTGAGAATAAATGCATATCTGTATAACTGAGGTATTTTCTCGTAGAGATTTTAGTTAATAAAAGCCTTTTTATTATTGTCATAATAGTAACTGGGACATGTTTCATATACTAACTTTTTAATTTCACATCAAAAATGATTCGTATACATTTCACTACGTTTTAGTTAAAAGTCAACCGAATAGGAATTTGGACAGCATACTACTGATGATATATGACGATGGTCAACCTACGTCATTTCTTTATTGATATGTATGATCATTAATACATTGTTAAATCTTAACTAGTACTTTATAATTTATTTTTTAATTGGATTCATGAGTCAATCAAAGATAGACCACCATTGGAAAGGTGGAAACACTGTACGACCGTTCCGTCCTAGTGTGGGACTCTTAGCAGTGAGCATTCACGACCCCGCCTCGAGAGATTCAAACCCAGGACCTGTCAGTCTCGCGCACAAGCGCTTGACCACAAGACCGCTGAGCCGGCATCAATCTGTGTTAATGTTTAACTTCAACCAATTCACAAAATTGCACCACTGTCCACCATTGTCTTCAGTGACTTATTATCTAATAACAGACCCAGTTGAACTTCACTTGTCATGTCTTCTCACTAAAACTTTAATAAATACCTTTTGAAGCCAGTCACTAGTGAGCATATGATGTCCTGCGAGTGAAACCGATAGGTCCTTAGTTCGAATCTCGTTAGCGAGATCGTGGATGCGCACTGTTGAGGAGTCTCACACTAGGACGAAACGACCGTTCAGTGCTTCTAGGTTTTCCATGGTGGTCTAGCTTTAATTGACTCATGAATTTAATTATTAAACGACTATAATATCCATTGAAAGCTCCCTTTCTGATTAAAATGTAATTTGTTTCCTATAAATTCACTAATATTCAGAACATTTCATAATTTAACCTTTTGTATATATTTTATTGTAAAATTAAATGATAATTTTCCAGAATCCAAGTAAATATTATTTCAGTGACAATGTTAAATTGTTTATTCTATTTGATTTTGCCATACTTTACAAATATGTCATCATGTTTCATCAAAACAAATAGAATAGATAGGGATAATAATTAGTAATTGAATTAAATTAATAAATATCTATTATATTGGTATTATCTATTACAGAGATATCTCTAAATTGTTATTATTTATTAGTGTGTATGTTATTTTCTTGATTATTCAAGTAACTGATATTGATACGATATTGATACTGTATTTTCTTCTCAATTAACTTTGACATATGACAAAATGTTTTACAATAAAAGAAAGTTTAAGTTTGATTGTTTATGTAGTTAGATGATACGTTCTAGTGTTTCTAAAGAAGAAAATATATCCAAGTTTTTATACAGTAAAGTAGACCTGAAGAAAAAAGTAAAATACGTAATCCGTTGAGATGGTGGAGAAGGTTTATAGTTCATGTTATGAATTTAAGTTGTGAGACTGCAGGGTTTGATAAGCAGCGTATTTATTGATCGATCGCAGTACAGTGACACGGAAAACACGTACGGACGGCCTAGAGTCTCTATTGGTCTCGCTTCCCTGTCTAGCCCAGTTAGTTGAGTCCAGAACACAAGTCACACCCTCTGAGATATGAATCACTATATTTCAAACATACTTTGTTTATATACTAGTCAAGCATACCACAGCGTACCATAAAAATAGAAAACAACATTTTGTACAATATTCAACAAGTGAACAGATATCGACCAATAGGAAATGTCCATTTAAAGTCCAAGGACACCATTGAACTTAACATGATAATTATTGGTCTATTCCTGCGCATCCACAACACCTCCCCTTTTTTTTGAAGATCCGGAGTTGATATCCGGATTTTGAAATTTTCTGGGTTCATCCTCCCCCACGAAATAATGTTGGGTCCTCATATTCCCAAGTTAGAATTAATTTGACTTTATTTAACACATAATTGTCAGATTGAACAGGGGAGTCACTGAAAGTGATTAAATAGTGGGGAACAATGTCGCTTGATATGAGGTCACCAACGTTTGATTCTTCTGGAACATTGTCACGGGATTTGTTGAAAATCTCATTTGTAAACAGTTGATCACTGCGATAATCAACATCTATCAAAATTGTATTAGATTTCTGATCATCATTTAATGCATTTAACACATTTTCTGGTACAAAAAGATCTAGATAATAAGATTCGTCAGAATCTCCTGTTGTTGAATGATGAGGACCATTTGAAACAGCTGGATTCAGTGTACCGCACGATTTGTTCCCTGTTCCGTTGTGGGCGGGTACTGCAATTAATTTATGAGCATTTAATAAGAGATCCTCCTGTGAGCTGGGTACATCACTGTCTGTACACGTTTCAGGAACAGTGGGATTTGAACCCACGACAGGGAACGTTTCGGAATTTGACATTTCTGGACAACTGGGCGGACCATGAATAACTGTCTCGTTTACATCACTGGTCGTCCGGGATTCACAGAGGCTTTTATAAACAGCTTCATATGTTCTGCAGTTGTTTTCCAGCTCAGTCTGCAGATGAGAAATGAATTTACCAACTTCTGTTGCACCTCCGAAACATGGAACATTTACCAACAGTGTGCGTAAATTTTCTAAAAAATTTAACTGGCTATTTTTGAAGCACTGCTGTTGTTGCTCAAGTAGAAGCTGTAATCGATCGGAAAAGGTAGTCATTTTTTTTTCAGCACCTGCAATGAAAATTAACTGTAGGAATAATGACCAATGTTGCTCAAGGACGCTGGTGACAATCTGGATGCTGATTGGTCGAAACAATTAACCTGAATCTCGTCCAATTACAAGGTTCAAAATTTTTCTCCACCCCGTCGCCAATTGTTATGACCCCCGTCGCCAATTGTTATGAATTTAAGTTGTGAGACTGCAGGGTTTGATAAGCAGCGTATTTATTGATCGATCGCAGTACAGTGACACGGAAAACACGTACGGACGGCCTAGAGTCTCTATTGGTCTCGCTTCCCTGTCTAGCCCAGTTAGTTGAGTCCAGAACACAAGTCACACCCTCTGAGATATGAATCACTATATTTCAAACATACTTTGTTTATATACTAGTCAAGCATACCACAGCGTACCATAAAATAGGAAATAATATTTGTACACAAATAAGCCCAAAAAGTGGCTGTGGATGTGGGAGGCAGTAGTTAATAAGCTGAACATAACTTAAGAACCGTAAATCGTACAATAATACGTTATAGGTCAAAATAAAGCTTATAATAAGAGGAATATAAATATATGTAATGTAATTGTTGAATAATTATACAATAAGAATATTTATAGAATATTAGTCCATTAATAGTCCTCGGGAGTTACCTGTAATTTAATCTCCACTCGGACATAACAGTTCAGGTGGATGATTTTGATGGAGTTTTGTTCATTGAGCTGGATGGTTTGGTTGTGGAGCTTTCATCGTTCTTCTGAGTGACATCATCGGTACAAACTTCAGTTAGAAGTGAAGTCGTTGAATTTCTCCACATATAGTTCACCGCTTATTCTGTAGACTTCGGTGACACGTTTAAGGTCAACAGTAGCCAATCAACATTGAGGTCTACTGGACAAGCTATGAGCCATATGTGGAGAAATTCGAACACCTCAATTCTACTTGAAGTTTATGCTGATGATGTCGTTTAGATGAACGATGAAAGCTCCACGACCAAACTATCCAGCTCGGAGAACAAGACTCCATCAAAATGCGTAATCCTTATTTTATAAGTCTGTTAAGATGAATTTAAATCGTTTATGGTTCCACATTACCAATATAAGATTATTTTTCCCTGAAAAACGATATCTTCTATAACAGTTCTATGAAAACTGAAGGTTAAATATGTCACTATTTTGATTTCATTTTACTCTTTCTTTCAACACCCAATACTATTGTTTATTAGAAAAGTCCAACAAAATAAGTGGCTGAAACATTTGATAGTAAATTGAAAAACCTTTTATCTGGTCAAAGCTATTCTTCAGTTTTATGGTATCTATTACTGAAGAAATATTAAGATGACTTGTAAAAAATTTAAAATAAGATTAGAATGAACTCAACTTAATGGTTTGTTTCTAAAATCTGTTAAAAGTAATGCGTATAAGCTACTAACGCGAATAGTTAGTTAAGTAGTTAGGGAATGGATATTTATGCAGTGAGTTTTAATATTTTTCTAATTTTGTGTTGCAACAAAGTTTATCCGTCTATACATGCTGATTGATTTCTCATTGTTCATCCAGCCATTATTCGTCTATAGATATCTATACTTATTTCAATGGAAAAGTCAAATTGAATATTTATGGAGTTGTTACTTGTGTGAAATGGTATTCATTAATTAAGGATTTCCTAATACAAATAGTTCATCATAAAAAATTGAAAGTTATGTATTCAAACTTAACAAATATCTCAGTTTATAAAAAATAATATATTTTGAATGTATTCTTTAGTGGTCCTGTATATCTGGCTTCAATTTGATCGTATATATGATGTAGAAATATACATATCATCAATCCTCTTATATAATTATTGACTTAATTCGGGTTAGTGAGTGACGGAATTAAATATGTCGAATACTAGAATACATTTCAAATAAATATATTTCATACAATCTGTGATCCCGACAGAATATCGGAGAAGCGAAGAGAAGAGAGCGAAGCAAAATGACGCGCAGTGGAGAAGGCGTGTGAACCAACTCGATTTAATCAAGCGTTAATCAATATTTATCATCACACAAAAATAAGCTAGAGACATGTGATAAGTAGGATAAGAAGTGTACACAAGGTTGATAAGTGAATAATTGGAAAGGTCAAAATGTGACTAAGAATAGAGAATAAACTGATCTGTTCAGAGGCTGTAACAACCTATGTGGGCTTGCATAGCAACTGACACTACAATTCCTTGATAATTACAAATTTTTGATTGAGATTATTATTCGATTGATTTTAGGCCACCATTGAAAACCTGGAAGCACTTGATGGCCATTTCGTCCTAGTATAGGACTTCTCGGTAGTATGCATCCACGATTACGCACGCGCATCCTGGATTCCACTGCTAGCCACTATCCATCTTTGCTCATAAAATTCTCATTCTGTTCGCAAGCATTTGGAATACATACGAATATTCTACGGTAACTAGAGTGTGTATTCAATGTAGACTAAATTTACGGAAGTGTAAATTAGTTTACAGTTCTCTGCAGGTGGTGATTTCGCAAACTTTGACAATACTTTATTACTGGCTAGTGATAACTAGTTTCATTTGTTTGACAATTCAAATGAAAATGAACCATTTAAATCTGTAGTTGAAATCACGAACTGATCTCATTCATACCACCATGGAAAATATAAAAAGGACTGTATAGCCGTTTCGTTCTCATATGGGAGTCTTATACAATGAGTATTCGCGAACCTTCAGATGGTAGCCAAACTCGAGTCTCCGGTCTCGTGAGCAGATGCTCAACCTCTAAACCACTAGTCCGACGTCGAACGGTATTAATGTCTAACTTCAAACAATTTACGATATTTTTAAACCCCTATGTTTTTTCTGAGGTGCTTTAGCTCATTAGAATTGAAGGAGTGACTAGTGAGCACACGATTGTTATTAGTATAACAAGATTGTGGAGGTTTTATGTTTTCATAGTTTCGACCATGAAGCAGATTTCCACCACATCAAATGTAAGACAGATGTCCACCACAAATAACTCATATGGGTTGCACAATATCGTAAATTGTTTGAAGTTAGACATTAATACCGTTCGACGTCGGACCAGTGGTTTAGAGGTTGAGCATCTGCTCACGAGACCGGAGACTCGAGTTTGGCTACCAACTGAGGGCTCGTGAATACTCATTGTATAAGAGTCCCATACGGGAGCGAAACGGTTATCCAGTTCTTCTTGCGTTTCTCTTAGTGTTATTACCAAGGGTAATTAGTGGTTTAGATTGTGGTTATTGTATGTATATCGAAGCACTGTTTATGGTAGAATGGAATAAATAAAGTCTTTGAAGATTAATGTATTGTTAATTCTTTTTTTTTTACAGAATACTACGTTTTTTTAAACGAACAACTAATCCAAATCAAAGTTTCCCTTGAATTTGGACGAATTAGTGTACATTTCATTTATCTATCAAATTCAAAAACTCTTCGTTTACCTTTAGGTGCTGTTGCACTAAATGACAATGCTTGGCATTATGTAGATTTTTTCTGAATACACAGGTAATATTTTAGAAAGTGGACTGGTTTTTTTTCACTGATTTTGGTCAAATAGGATTAGATTGAAATAGCAAGAATAATGCAGGGACCTGGTTTTCAGTAAAACTGAACTGATTCCATTTAACTTGTTACATGATCCTGTTAGTTGTGTATACTGGTTTATTTTTGACACAATAAAATAATACCGGAGTAATGTAGGGAGTGAAGATATATGAATTGTAGGTTTAATTATTTTTCTCATAACGAAGTCAACAGTTGCTGAATAAATATTTCTAAGCTATATCAGTTTATTGCATGCTATTATGAGCATGGAGCACAACTAGTGTACATTGAACAAGTCATTTGTTCTCAATTAGTGTTTTTCATAGATCATTCTCTGCAGATTCACTTTTTATAAATGTAGCTTAAGATTTAGACATCTGAAAATGATCACCTTAATGTCGATACATTCAAATCAAAACCAATGATAATAATTAACTATTGCTCTTGATCATTTATTTTGAAGAAATAAACTTTTGAGTAATGATGTAAACCCAAACCGAGTTCAGTTTTCAGTGATTACTCTTAGAATTAATAGAGAATGTGTTCATCCGATGTTTTGATACATCATATAAATATTAAGTCTGATAATTTAGACTGAAATTCACTGACCTTTGAATAGCGTATAAAATCTGTGACTTTCAATCGCTTACGTCTTAATTGACTTTAAATAATGTTTATTCATATGCCTAATATTTTATATATAAGCATACAATTTCACTTCTTTCAGTTAATGGTCCAGCTTTTAAAATTAATCTATTTGGTGTTTTTGTCAATGATTCCGGATTATAAGAAGTCATTACTCGTCCACATAATATAACTGTGTTCACTCATTGATTACGATTTTATTCATTTGAATTAATAGTTCTCAAATTCTGTATTATTAACCAATTTGAAACACCAAATAAATGATTCTATTCTCTGATGCCGAGTATGGCATGGAAACAAGTCAAGTTTAAGATGATTCTATTATGCTTTTCTTATGTACTAAATCTAGAAAAGGAATAGTTTAGAATACCTTGCACTAAGTTATTACATATTTTTAATAAACTTCCCTATTTGATCAATTATTTATACAGGTTAATGGCGAATGGAATCTAGTCTTATTGATAGATCGTTGTAAATATTCTGAGTTAGGACCGTGTATGGTGAATGATACAATAATTTTATCAGTGAATACAATACAAATAGGAGGTTATATTCTAATAGGTGATGAATCTGGTCCATCTACAGAGAGATTTAGAGGATGTTTTGATAATGTTATGGTGAATAGAGAGGTAAATTTTTTGCAGTAAATTTTCAGTTAAACTGTCACACTGTAATTAACTTATCCGGCTTTATTACAACATTTTATAAAGCTTCCATTTATATTCATTTCTGGTTATTGTGAATATTTGGTTCTATGATTATTATCTTTTGGACTCTGTCGTCAAGGGATTGTCTTCCACCTCAATTGTAAACTAGGTTAAACTAGAATGACTTGAATTACCATCATTTATATCTTTTGAAACGAAAATCTAGCTTAGAAGATACAATTTCGTTACTCTCCTTAATTCTATTACTGATCCACATATGTTGCGTAAAACCTATGGAGTCGAGTATAATTGTATAAATTTATATGATGCTAAGATGCCAAACAGTGAAAGCCCCAGAAAATTGGTAAAATTCTCGGTAAATGTACATACGTTCTAACAAACTTTGGCGTTCACTGAACGCTTTATTGACTTATGAAGGTCAGCTGTATGTATTTGTATTTGAGACAAATTAAGTCCCGATAATGTTTGATGTAAAAATGCTTAAAGCTAGTAAATACTTGATAAATGTGAAAGCAATTTACGTAGGATGGTGTAAAATATTTAGCTTGTAAATGATATCTTCGTTACGTTAATGTTCATAAATCAATCCTGAAATTTAATTGAAATAAAATGTAGTCTATTCTATCCTTTTAGTTGATCGATTTCTACCCGGTACTTTTATCGCAAGGTTCTCGGCGTGGTTGTCCAGACTCTCAGAAAGGTTGTGTAAGAGGTAATGTAAAATTATGTGGAAAGTATGGGAAATGTCGAAATGCAATAAGTTCCACCGATATACTGACTTGTCAATGTGAATTAGGTTATCGACCTAATATAACAGGTGCACCGAAACCACATAGATGGCCATGTGAAACTGGTAAGTAAAGCTTTTAGAAAAACACATTTATGAATTCGCTAAAGAAAAAATAACTAACTCTTCAATATATGCTGTGTTTGCGTTCTTATATCTTTATCAAAATTACTTAAAAATGATTACATGGATATACAAAATCTGACAATTGAATGAATAGTTGGACTGTTTTATAACTCTATCTGTCTCTTATTGACACTATGACATCTGAGAAACATAATTACCAAATTGGAAAATGCAAAAGTATAACGGACCGATTAATATAACATTGGTCTCATTTTTAAGCAATGATGGATAATGGATAGCAGTGGAATCCAGGACGCGCGTTTCGACTGATTAATCGGTGTTAAACCTTAATCGGAAGATGGCGTTTGAAGCGAATGGTACTGAGTTCGAGTCCCAGAGTGAACATCAATTCCGAGATACAGGTACATCCAGCTAACAAATCCCAAATAGGACGAAACGCGCATCCTGGATTCCACTGCTAGCCACTATCCATCATTGCTTACAAAAAGCTTGTGAATTAAAGTAATATCGAGGCATACGCACGGTATGCACATATGCCGATAACAGACTGATCAATTGCAGTCTTAAACCTCAATGGAAAGATACAAGCCAAATAATACCAAGTGAATTGGTCTTATTTATTATCAGAATTGTGTATAGTTTATTTAATAGAGTGTTCTGCTTAAATCTTTGTCAAATTCATAATTGTGACAACTCGTTTCTTTTTTTAAAAAAATTACTTTTTACTTATCATAGATTAAAAATTTACTGTATGTAGTCATATAATCCAAAAGCTAAATACAATCGAGTACGGTGTCCAGTTATTCATACTAATCTGGTTTATACTTATCTAATTACATTGATTTGCTTGAAAAGAAGCTGATTTATTTTATACTTTCTTTTAAAATATCTCAAAACTTAGATAAATAATAATCATTTGTCACATTGACAGAAATAAGAATGAAAGTGTCAAATAGTAAGTTGTACCGGGTATTAATCCTAAATAAAAATCTTAAATAATTGTTAAATCTATTAAATAGACAACTGATAGAGATTTGTAGTAACTGTATTGGATATATTCAAATGACTTGGCATACACCTAGGATATGCACAGATTTGTACATTAATAAAATAAATAATACATCACTTCTTAGACGATGGACAAATTACAGTTAACAAATGGTACGACAGATAATATTTTCGAAATATTCAATGCCTGTACACGTTGGTACCAACGTCTTTAAATACAGCAATACGTGATGCACTTTCGGCAAAACTGCATATATTCACCTTGCTAAAGAGTATCAAGAAATATACTTCTAGGGTGTCAACTTCGAAGTGCTTGTAATTACATAATATTGAAGCATAGTTCACTTAGTGTCATATTCCTTTAGACTAATGGTCTCGTTGTAAGTTGTTTTACAAAATTAATTAAGATTTAATACTATGAAAACATGAAGTTGCTATCTATCCTGCAGCTAACTGGTGCGAGTGTTTTGATTATATACATTTCTTCGAGAAAATGTATGCATTTTTCGTGTTGTGTGATTTCTACTTTTCAGTTTCTGATGGCTGGTCTACAACCAATGTAGTTTACAATGCATTATTCACTGATAAAGTTCCGAATCGTTTACGATTGAGCATAAGAACAAGAACTCAAACATTTATGGTTTTTGCAGTTGGTGCGTGGAAACTTTCCATAAGTGTGAGTCAATGATATTTTGATTTAAATATTAAAGTTATTTGGAAATCAATCTTTTTCAAGTTATTCTATGAATGTACAAACATTTTCTGAAAATTAAATTCAAGTTATGTTCTTATTTAATTGTTTATAACCGTAACAGAATAAATAGTCCGGAATTTAGAACAAAAGCTTAGTTTCTGTGAATTTTTTCAATTCAAGTAATTCAAATGCTTAATGTGGTTTTACTGTATGTGTGACTACTCGTTGATTAGCCTGAAAATTTCATTTTACGTTCTGGGCTACTTAGCATGAAATAAGTAGTTTGTTATAAATCTTGAAAAGTATTCTGTGAGGGTTTTTAGTCATTGATGACGAAAAGAAATACCCATACTAGATTCTTGGTCCTTGAATTAGAGATATGTTGAAAGGGTAGGGTAAAATGCTAGTAAGAGCAATAATACTCAAAAATTTGTTTTTGATTGTTTTGTTGATAGAATTTTGTGCATTGTTGTCAATAACTTGTATGGTGTTTACCTCCTAATTATTTTAATTTAAAAAACATAAATTCAGACATGCCAATTTGATTTACAAAGTTAAAATAATGCCTAACAAATTGAAAAGCGAATTTCTTTCGCGTTCATTAATTGAAATATATACATGTGAAGATTTGAATTGAAAGATTTTTTATATTTCGAACTGAAATGTATTCTTGATCTTAATAATCATTAAAAGATAGATTTTATAACAAAGTTGGCAATCAAACAGGAAACAGTTTTAGTCAATGGAAGGAAGAAGGCGTTTAAGTTTGCTTGAATCCTTTCAACCATACTTTTGATCTATTTTAGTTCTGGAACAAAATATGAAATCGGAAGATTGTAAATCAATAAAGAATATCATGAATTAATCAAATATAGAACACCACTGAAAAAATGGAAGCACTAGACAGATGTTTCCTTCTACTATGAGACTTCTCAGCAGTGTGTATTGACGATCACACATGAAGGGTTTGAACCATGGACCTTCGACCTCGTGCGAACGCTTAACCTTCAGACAACTAAACCGAGATCCAACAGTGTTAATGTCTAGCTTTAACGAATACACGATATTGCGTGATCATCTTTAATTGTCTTCGGTAGGTAACAGTATCATGCCAGACACGGTTGAACTTCACTCGTTACGGCCTCTTGCTTGAACTTCAAGCATCACCTCTTGAAGGGAGTGACTAGTAGGTACATGATAATTGTCATTATAGGGTTGTAGAGATTAAGAGCTCGCGCGAGCACGAAGGTCCTGGGTTTTGGGTCATGCTTGCGGGATCTTGGCTGCGCACTGTTGAAGAGTCCTATACTAAGACAAAAAGGCCGCTCAGTGCCTTCAGATTTTTGATGATAGTCTGAAATTGACCGGTTCATGATCTTGATAAAATCTCAACAATCTCTACAACCCTGTGCTGGCAATGAAGAATAATTTTAGAGGTACGCTTTTTCAGTAGAAAGTATGTTTCTCAGTATTTTCGTACAGGTAATTTAGAAGCAGTGCAAGTATCGTATGTTCTGTGACCTGAAAAACAGTTTATGGAGGATGTTAACGTTTCAGCTACAGTGATGATATACAATATGAAATTTAAGATGTGGACTTTAATTAAGGATGTGAAAAGAACAATTATTTCGTGGTTTACATCAATGAGCAAATCGAACGAATTTGGAACTAGCTATGAAACTTTTGTTGACATCACGAGTTGATCTAATTTAGATAACCATTGAACACGACTTTACAACCTAACATGAAACTCCTAAGCAGTCAGCATCCATAACACCGCAATCGTGAGTCCAACTAGGGAATCCGAGTTCGTGCACAAACGATCAAATCCTAAACCAGTGATCCGGGGTCAGTGGTGTGAATGTCTGATTTCAATTGGCTCATGATATTGTGAAACAGTGATTTATTGCTCGCGGTGGATAATTATTTTATATGTATATTGGCTCCAAAGAAAATGACTTTAAGTTTACTACTAATGAGTCATAGAATAATGATTAAAAGCATACTTCGTACAGATTGAAACATGCACATTAGGTAAAACAACTTATTATTCTTATGACACACAATTTGAAGAAATACAAGTATATTTTTAGTGTTGTTTGGTATAAAGTGTAATTAGCTACAGATAGTATAAAAGCCGTGGGGTATTAAACTTTTAGTTCTATCTAATTCAGTATTCTCTGGAATACGTACTCATTATCTTGTATAATATCATATTAAAAATTTCAAATATCGTGAGTATCATGGAATAATCCAGACTCTGAGGTAGTACCTGATAGTTGATAGTTCTGTAACTCAGTCAGTTTCTGATATGTGTCACTGTTAGACTGTGTCATTGATAATTGACTTTCTTACTTCTGACTCTGATGAAGCCTCAGGTTATGGAAGTTTAAGAAGATTACCGATACTCTATCTTAGAACTCATTTAATTCAAGAAACTTTTTTATTGAATACAGATGTAAATTTGTGAATTTAGTGTGATGTAGTGCCATGAATACTGAACGTCAAGAATTCATTAGTATGGGGTTAAGATTATTAAGTTTTTGATTGAGATCATGAACTGGTTGATCTTAGGCCATCACTGAAAACCTGGAAGCACTGGACGGTCATTTCGTCCTATTGTGGACTTCTCAACAGTGAGCATCCACGATCCCGCTCGCGTGGTTGAAAGCCAGGGCCTTCGATCTTGCTCGCTAACGCCTAACCTCTAGACCACTGATTAGGTATCCAACAGTGTTAATGTCTAACTTCAACCAATCAACGAAGTTGCGTGACCATCTTCCTCATTATTATTAGAACCGGATAATCGCATAGTACTCTCCGAGTTCCATTGCTTTATTAGAACTTTCTCACTATTATCCTAACTATTTCTTACTAGTGTATTCTTTGCATTTCACTAAAAGTACAATGACTTTCTTCCTAAGGAAAAAAAGCGTATTCGGCAACTTATATATTCACATAATACAATTCCCTTTATATAATACACATTACACATTTCGTACATGGCTAATTATGTCTGTATTTTGAGTCTATCAGTAATAAAAAACATAAATTATTGGTATATAAAATACAAAGTAATTCATCCATTAGTTAGTTATCAAAATCTTATGTAGAACTAACAAAAAATCAACATTGCTAATAAATAAATAAGAGAAAAATATTTCAAAAAAACGAAACATAAAACATGAAAATGATATTTCATTATATCAGTCATTCAGTCAGTCATCAACAACATAGAACTTCGTACATACACAAATCATTTCGAGTTGCCATACCACATTAGCACAAAGGATACAATTGTCAATTCAAATCTCATTGTGGTAGAGGCAGTAAAATTATAAACAGTAATCAGAAAGATTAGGGTTTGATAATGAAATATATTTACAAAGTGAAAAAAGGGGTGACATGATAAATTTGACAGAACACAAACAATAGATTCACATGTACCATTAGTTAATATTTACATAATTATGTAAATTTCTTTTTCTTAAAAAAAACAAAAAAAACACAACAATAGTCAACATACTAAATTGTGATAGAAATAAAACAACAAGAATAACAACAACAACAACAACAGAACAATTCAACTTTACAGTTAACCATGTAGGTAAAAGATGAAAACAAAATGTTCTTAATAATAAGAACACATACAAAATAGTCACTGTTAACTTATTTGTTTTAAAAGGTCATGAATTGGATCTTTTTTTCATGATTAAATTTCTATTTTACATAATATGGTTAATAATGTTTTATTGGATAAAATGATTCTATTGAATAATGAATAACCGAATATTTGAAAAATATAGAAACAATAAATTCAATATTTCAAATAGAAAGGATGAATTTATTTTTTTTTTTTATATTTTTCTTATGATAAATAAACAAATTCACTTTTGAATACAATAGGTTAATTATTGAAGTATTTATTTGTCTTGTAAGTAAACACTATATGCTTATATGAAACGAATATATATTATATTATCAGTATCATAATAGAAAACATAAGACTACATGATATCTGATAATTTAAAAGATTTATTTGTATAAAAGATATTTAGTATCATATGGGGGTTTATGGAGATTGGTAGTTATTTCAATAGTTGAGGTCATGAATCAATTGAAGCTAGACCATCATGGAAAACTTGGAAGCACTGGACAGCCGTTTCTTCCTATGATGGAACTTCTCAGCAGTGCGCATCCACGATCCCGACTCCCAGGATTTCAACCCGGAGCCGTACAGTGCATCTAGTTTTTTCATGATGATCAAGCTTCAATTGACTCATGATCTCAATTAATAAATTTAATGTAATACCCACAAAAACCCCTTCTGATGTTATTCAACATATGCTCATTAGTGACTGGCTTCAAGAGATATATCCTGGAGTTCTAGTGAGAAGCACTGACCAGTGGAGTTCAACCGGGTCTGTTATCAGATAGTAACTCACTGAAGACAATGGTGGATGTGTCGCTCAATTTCGTGGATTAGTTGAAGTTAGACATTAACACCATTGGACGTCGGCCGGTTCAGTGGTCTGATGGTTAAGCACTCGCTCGCTCGCGAGACTGATAGGTCTTGGGTTCGAATCTCCCGAGGTGGGATCGTGGATGCGCACTGCTGAGGAGTCTCACAATACGGCCATCCAGTGCTTCTAGGTTTTACATGGTGATCTAGTTTCAATTGACTCATGATCTCAACCACTGAAATTACTACACTCTCCATAAAACCCCTTCTGATACTAATTATTATTGTGACAATTATTCGTTAGAAATGATTACATAAGTATCTTTCATAAACTTTCTTAAACCATAGTGTATCAGTCACAAAAAAGATGATACTGTTAAAAAGTAAAGTTGACGATAGTTTTAGTTAAACAGGATCTTGAAAAAAAAGAAATGATCAAGAACGAAAAATATATACACTATTAACTTTTTACCTAATAGTCAATTTATCTGAAACCATCAGGTTCAACCTTGGCATGGAT